TTTTTTTTTTTTTTTAAGATTTTATTTATTTATTTGACAGACACAGCGAGAGAGGGAACACAAGCAGGGGGAGTGGGAGAGGGAGAAGCAGGCTCTCCGCCGAGCAGAGAGCCCGATGCGGGGCTCGATCCCAGGACCTTGGGATCAAGACCTGAGCTGAAGGCAGACGCTTAACGACTGAGCCACCCAGGTGCCCCCCCCCTTTTTAAAAGATTTTATTTATTTATTTATTTGAGAGAGAGAATGAAAGAGAGAGAGCATGAGAGAGGGGAGGGTCAGAGGGAGAAGCAGACTCCCTGCTGAGCAGGGAGCCCGACATGGGACTCAATCCCGGGACTCCAGGATCTTGACCTGAGCCAAAGGCAGTCGCTTAACCAACTGAGCCACCCAGGCGTCCCTGGGACTGGTATTTTCAATAACTAATTGTTAAGCTGGTCAGCGAATGTCTCTTTGGCTCTGTCTTCACATCTGTAAAATGAAGGAGGTGCCTTAACTCACAGGGACATTTTAAGGACCAAGTAGGGTAGTGGGCGTGGAATTCCTTGGAGAGGTCCAATGTGAGGGTACCCTTGGTGGTTGTAAAATAATTTACAAGAGGACCAATTTAAATTGGACTTTCAAAAGTGATTATGTTTCCCTGTCTCACAATCTAGCCCCATCATTTTTTAGGTGCCAGTTCATACAATAAGCATTTATCGGGCACCCACTAAGTGCCTGGCACTGTGCCAGGTGCTAGGGATACTGTGGCAGCCCCTTCAATCGGTTCCTTATACAGAGCCAGAGTGAGCCTGCTAAATGAAAGTCAGATCCTCTCCCTCTTCTGATCAAAACCCTGCCATAGCTCCCATTTACTTGGGGTAAAACCCAACCTCCTGCATTGACCCCAAGGCCCAAAGAACCTGCACCCTGAACCTCTCCGATCTCAGCTCCTACTGCTCTGCCGTCACCTGCTCAGCTGCACCAAATGCTCCTCACCACCACAGGGCCTTTGCACTTGCTGCCCCCCTCCCTGTAGTGTTCTCCCCGCAGAGATTGGCACAGGTAGACCCCTTTCTTCCTTAAGGGCATGACTCCAATGTCAATGGAATCTTGTCCAGATGCCCTGTCATTCCTACTCCTCTTCTGGCTGTAGCATTGTCCTTACTGTCTAAATACTATTTTCCTTATTTACATAGTCTGTTGTCTGTCTCTTCACTAGAATATAAGCTCCCTGAGGGCAGAGGTTCTTGTCAGTTTTGTTCACATTGAATCTGCAGTGCCTCGAGTAGAGCCTGGCACATAGTAGGAGATGCTTGCTATGTGAATGAATGGTGAACAGATGGGGTCTCTGCTCTCAGGAAACCTGCATTCCAGAGCAGAGGGTCTGCGGGCAATTTGGAAGGAAGAGGGAGTGGGGGGAGCTACAGAACCTGGGTGTCACAAGTCTCTGGGGCCCCCTCCTCTCCAAGGCTGTCACTGCAGGATTGCACTGTCACCAGTCTGGAGCACACGTTTTATAACAGGAGTTAACTGCTTACTAATTAGCTGCTGGAACCATTAATTGGCCATTTGTTAGAGCCTGAATTAATAAACTGGTCTTTCAGCGGGGTCATAACTCTCCTCGGCCTTCACCCCCTCCCACCCCAGCCAGCCTTCACCCGCCTCCGACCAGAAAGTGTCTTGCCTTGAGATTGAATCGATTCCTGCCACTGTACGATTTTCAGAGACAATTTCCCTAGCAAGCCACGACACCATCCCACAGAATTCTTCTCGCTCTCTCTCCCTCTCTTCTCTTCTCCCGGGCTCTGAGTTCCCTTGGGCAGGAGATGGGGGAGCTTTCTTATAAGGAGCTCTCACAACAAAAGCCCTGAGCTGCCCTGCCTGGCCAAGATCAGGGGTTCCTGGTTCCCTGGCGTGGCACACACCCCCTCAATCAGCACTAGTTCCTGAAACCTCCTGGAGCCCAAGGGCTGGGTTTTCTCTGGGGCAAAAGAATCTTAGTATCCTGGGTGGAAGCCAGGAGTTGGCAGTCAGGTGCTGACCACCGAACCTCCAGGCAGCCCAGCCTCAGTCGGCCTCAGGTCCAGGGGTCTAGAGCTCATGTGCTGTTCCCCCCACAACAGCCCATTTTGGGGCCCTGTGAATTGTTCTGTGTGTGTGAAAAGTCTAGGAAACACTTCTTGTGAAAACATTTACTAGACACCTAGGTCCTTACGTTTCTTCAGTATAGAACAGTGGGAAAGAACAAGGTCAAGGAGCCAAGCTACCTAGGTCAAAGCCACTTAGCAGGTATGTGAATCACTAAATCGTTCTATGTTATTCTATGAGAATAACAGTCCTATCTCCCATAGTTGTTATGAGGATTAAATAGTTATCCACATGAAGGGCTTAGAACAGTACCTAGCCTGGGGTATCAGCTGTTATTATTACTTACATCTCACAACCACTCTGTAGATAGGGATCCTACTCACATTACAGTTGGGGAAACTGAGGCCTAGAGAGGTTACTACTGGATTGTAGAACTGATGGCTCCCAAGTCTAGTGCTTTTTTCCTTCTCCCTGGTTGCCTCCCCTTGTCAGACACAGGGCTGTGTCAGAGGCAGCAGGCCAGGCATACTTGGGGGAGGAGATGGCTGAATTTACACGCAACACAAACAGGCTGTCAAGGTTCTTACACTGCATACGATTAGCTGCAGAGTATTCACAAGTGAATTCGCTACAGCAAATGTTCAATCCCAGCCCAGCTCCCCCCTCCTCCTGGTCTCTCCCTGACCATGAGTCTTCTCTCTCCTTCAGGCCAGTGTATGTGCTCAAGAGTATGTCAGCTGAGTCAGTGGGGTTCCCTGTCCCTCAATAAAACACCCAAAGCCAAAGAGGAGCAATTAACTGCTGTTTTGGGGGGGCTGGACCGGCTGACTGAAAAATAGGAAGCTAGTCTCCTCTGGCTTGGACACATGGTCATTCAGTTCAGAATGCGCAAAGCCAAGAAGAGCAGGAATTGTTGTGATCACTCCCTGAGAGCTTCCTGGAGGCGGTGAGGGTTTCTAGGAATTTTTGAACAGTAGGAAGAAGATGACAATAAAAGAAAATAGTCATCACCACACCCTCAATTGGTGCCACTTCCTTTTTAGAATGGGTGGGGGAGGTAGGTGGGAAGAGGCCTGATAGCTCTGTAGCCCGGTGGAGCAGCAAATGGATTTTTCTCTTCAGGGTAATGGTTGTGGGGTGGGAAGTAGAAAGGCTGTCTGCATTGAGGGTATCCTAGGTCTGTGGTATCTGGCCTACGATGGGCATCATTCATCCATTCATTTAACAAATCTCCAGCTAGTATCTGTTGGGTGCCCAGCACTAAATCAGATCGCCTTATTCAGACTTGGATCCACAGGAAAGGAAGGAGAGAGAAAAGGGGGGAGGGGAATGAAGAAGGAGCAATCAATTGGAGGTAGGGAGAATAAGATTCTTCAGATGTTTTGGGACTTCCCAGGATGGACAGAAAGGGAACCGAGAAGGTGTCAACGGATGGCACACCCCCCCACCGCGGCCTGGCATTTCTCCCAACACCTCCCACTGCTGCCCGGCACGTTCTCCTGTGAGAAGTCAGTCCTTTGAGGGTCGGGGGGGGGGAGGGACCTAGCAGGAAATGGGCCTGGGATGGGGTGGGGTTTATTATTTTTTAAATTTATGTTTTAATTTTACATATTGAAAAATGAAACCTTTTTTGGTGTAAGTTCTTTGAGTTTTGGCAAACGCAGGGTCGCGGAACCACCATCATTGCCAAGATACTGAACAGTTCCGGGGAGTGGGAGAAGGAGGGTTAATAATCTCCTCGCTTGTTAGCTGCTGCGGTCGTCCGCGATCCCACGGGCCGCCCTAATACAGTCCTTGCGCACCGGCCGAGATAAATAACGGCGACAGGTGGAGCAGGTGAGATTAGCAGGACCCGGGTGGGGGGACGCGATCGGAGGCGCAGGGGAGGCCGCCCGCCTGGCTTCCCAGCCTACGCCCCCTCCCCGCTGGCGTTTGGGAGGAGCGCTCTCCCCACCCCTGCTCCGGGAGCCGGGGCGAGGTAGCGGGGTTCCGGAGTGCCTGACCCCCGCAGCTGGAACCGGCCGCGGGGCTTGGCTACCGGAAGAGAGTGCGCCCCTGGGGCGCTTGGGGGCGCCTGAGGTCCTAAGGACAGGCAGGATGGGGGGAGAGACAGGGGCAAGCCGGGGAGAATGTGGGTGGCCTAGGGGAGCTCCGGCAGCGGGGTCCTGCGGACAAACCTGTTGGCAACCTGTGGGCCGAGGCAAGGGCAGGAGCTCCAAGCGCGCGCTCTCCTACCCGGGCTGCACCAGCTGCAGTGCCGGTGGCCCCCACGCCCTACGCAGGGAGAGGCAGCGGCTTCCTGGAAAGGGGCGGGGGCTCGGCCGGGGGCGGAGGGACTCCGGGGCCGCGCAGACAGCCCTGCAGACCGACAGCTGGCGGCCGGCTCGCGCGCCTGCAGGACCTCAAAAGACGCCGGCCGGTGGCCTTTACCTCCGAACCCCGCTTTAGTTCCGACCACCAAAAGTGCAAAACATTTACTAAGTGTGCACTGCCCCGCAGGCTTCGGTCCCCAGGGCGAACGGCCGTGCTTGCCCCGCGAGCATACTGGAATCCGTGCACCCGGCTCGGCAGCCAGTCTGTGTGTGCAAGGGCGGGCGAAGAGCGAGCGTGCGAGCGCGCGGCTGCAGAGCCCGCGCCGAAACCCACGTCCCTCCGCCACTGTCCTCGGGATAGATGGATCCATTTCTGCTTTCTGACATTTTCCTGCCGGGGGGGTGGGGGGGAACGGAGAGAGGGAGAGAAGGGGGAGGGGCAGAGAGAGAGAGAAGAAAGCAGGCAGTCTGCTTCCCCAACCCTGTTTTGTTTTCTCTAATTGGTCCTGGGGGAGGCGAGGAAATTGGACAGAGGCTGGGCCGGGCGAGCTGGGCTGCCTTTAATTGGCTTCTTTTTTTAACTGGAGGGGAATCAAACGGGAGAGCGAGCGACAAAGGGTGGGAGAGCGAGAGACCGAACGAGGAGACGCGAGGAGGAGGGAGGAGGAAGGGAGGGAGGGAGGTGGGGGGAGCGCGGAATGAAAAGCTCCGAGGGGGGAAAAAGCAGCACAGCGAAGCCCAAGTTGCCGAGCGAACGGAGCGCTCCCGCGGCCCCGAGTCCAGCGGCCGCCGCACCCGGGAGCTCAGCCCGGCCCGGCCCCGCCCGCTCGGGGCCCCCGCCGGCCGAGGCCGCCGGGCGGGGGCGGGGACGACCAACTTGGGGCGCGGCGCAGCCCGGCTCTCCGGAGAGCATCGAGCCTGGGAGCGCCACGGCAGCGGCCAGACGACCGGAGCGAAGCGCGGCGAGCGGAGGCGGCGAGCGGCGCCCGCGCCGCAGCCCCGGCCTCGCCGAGAGCGCGAATATTTTTCAAACGACTCAAACTTTCCTCCTTTCCCCGCTTTCTGGGGTCTCTCTTGGCTGGAATTGCTCTCCTGATTCCCGCGGGGGCGCCGGGGCGCGATTCCTCCCCGGGGTTCCTCGGTGGCTCGGTTAACTTCGCGGACCTGGGGACCCGAGGCTCTCGCCCCTCGGCCGAACCCAGCCAGCGCTGCTCCGCCGCTCAGGAGGGCCGGGGGCCGGGGCTCCTTCGCCTCCGGGAGGGCGCCCAACCCGGCCCCCTTGGGTCGGGCTACTGAGACCCCAGCACCCGCCGCAGGACTGGTGACAGCGGATTAACCCCGAGCGAAGCCCGGGCCTTCCCGTCCCCGCTCCGCGGAGGGGCGTCCCCCGGGCGGGGAAACGACAAGTTTGTCAGTCGTCGGTGGCCTGTTGGATCGAAGCGCCCCCGCCGCCGCAGAGGGGTCCCTGACGCCCAGCACACGGAGCAGACAGCCCGGGGACCCCGGGCGCAGCGGCGGCCGGGCTCCTCGGGCCGGGGCGCTGGCTGCTGCGCCTGGCGCGCCAAGGCACCCGGGGCCGGGCCAGCGCCCCCTGCGTCCCCACGCGGGCAGCGGCCCCGCCAGAGGAGAAGCCCGGGTCGCCGCTGCCGCCTCCTCCGTCGCCTCTCGGGGGAAGGGGGGACGCAGGGGGCATCGCGGGGCCCCGGCGGATGCGCCCCCCGCCACCTCTCGGGCTGCGCCGCCTCGCGGGGATGAAGCACCGGCCGTGAAGATGGAGGTGACCTGCCTTCTACTTCTGGCGCTGATCCCCTTCCACTGCCGGGGACAAGGAGTCTACGGTAAGAGCCCGCGTCCCGCTCCACGCTGGCTTAGCACCGCGCGGAAACTTTGCAAGAGGCGCAAAGTGCGCGCTGCCGGGGTTTGGTGGGGGACCCCGGCTCGGACTCTGGAGTGGATGCCCGGGTCCCCGCCCTTTTCAGGGCGCGAGGAGATCGAGCTAGCTGTTTCGAAGCACGGAGACGGGTCGTAGGGTCTAGCGTGAAGCCGGGGATGCCAGGGGGAGGGACCCACTTCCTCAAACCTTGCCAGGGGCAGGAGTGACTCGGAACCCTTGAGAACACCCAGTCGGCTCAGGAGATCCCGACAGATCCAAACCTGGGCCTGGGGCAGCGACTTGCACGGAAACCTGGTCCTACCCTGGCTCGGCCGGAGTGGAAGCCGAGCGATGCACGATCCGGAGTTGCGCGTGGCTGGCGGGTGAGCTGGCTGCCGGCACCGCGGCCGGGAGGCGGGCTCGCCTTCCCCGCTCTCGCTGCGGCTTCGCTTTTTACTCGCTTCTTGACGGCCAGAGCGGATGCCAGCATCCCCCGGATTGGGTGCCTAAAACCCCGGCATCCGTTTTCAAACCTAGCCTGAGCCAGTTCCTCCTGTCCCCGGTTCTCAGCTACAAAACCCCAGCCCACCTTCCTTCTCCCTGAGCGCACACACGGACACATTCAGCCACCGTCCCCAGGAAACGCGAACACGGCACGCACCCATCGGGCTACGTGTTCAAACTCTGCCTCCTGCCACGCAGCTCTGCTCCTGCGTCCCTACGCCGTGTTCTCCGGCGCTCAGGGGACTCTAGCCGGGTGTCCCTTCTCCTCACTCTCCAGAGGGTGTTCCCCGGGGAAAGGTCCCGAGAGCAGGTATCATCTGTGCACGATCGTCTAGAGCTCCCGCCTCTCAGGGACCCTCTCTCTGAGTTCTCGCAGGCTTCAGTACCCTGACCTTAGGGCGCGCAAAAGTCCGTCTGGGGGCCCAGTGGTCCTTACTTTGCCTTCTCCTGACTGCAGGGTGGTCTGTGTGGGTCACTCTGTAATCGTGTGTAGCTGGGGTGGGGAGAGGTCCCTGTCCCTCTTCCCCTGGGCCCAGGGTCTGATTGTTCATCTTTAGATCAGAGGAAAGTTTGACCCGTTCTGTGGGTGGGGAGGCAGAGGCATTGTCCCCCCAGCTGCCCCCCACCATGGCGCCGGGTGTACAGCTGCCAGCCTCAAGTGCAGATGCTAAATGCTCCCTTCTGGGGGTGGCTGGCCTTGCTGTGCCTCCCAAGAGGCAGGGATGTCCTGAGGGGGTGTCTGGGAGGTGACATGCTCCCCGCCCTACACAGTTAGCTGGCTTTGGCTTAATTCCCTGGGGAGGCAGGCCCAGGCATCTGGCCAAACTCTGCTTCTTAATTAGTTTGTGTGTCTCTTACTGCCTGGCCCTTTACAGAGGCCAGAAGAGGGAGGGGGAGGAGGAGCGCAGCAGAGACTGAGGGGGCGGGGCTTGTAGGGTGGAGGCCGCTGAGCCAGCCCCAAAGGCCTCCCCAGGGCAGAGGAAGACACGGGGTTGGGGGGGGGGTTTAGGGGACAGGGGTCCTCTTCTTTCTCCCCAAGGTTTCTTCGTAGCCTCACTGCCTCAAGAGCTGGCCTAAGGAGGGATGTCACTGAGGTCTTTGCCCCCTGCTCCCCACACTCCAGGGGCTCTGAGAGTGACAGAGACCTCACATTATTCCCTGCTGTCTGTCCTCTCCCCTGCCCCTCCCTCCAAGTGTCCTTGGGAGATCTGGCCAACCTGTTTCCTGGCCATCCCTCTCCTCTAATCCCCTCCAGCGTTTCCAGCCTTTTCCAGGGCTACTACACAGGGCACTCTGAGCCTAGCCTGGAAGCCCCAGCAATGAGGGCAGTGGCGGGGGGGGGGGGGGGGGGGGGGGGGGGGGGGGGAGATAGGGGCAGTGATGTCTGCGGGCTCTGATCTCAGAGGACTTGGGGCCAGGATTTAGCCATTGGCTTATCTGCCCCCTATTTTCTGTAGTTTCTCCTCCCTCGTGTGCCTGGGTCTCCCTTTTCGTTGCTCTCCATTTGGAGCAAATCAAGGTGAGCTGGGTGTACTGGGGCCAGCCCCGGGCCCTGGGGTGACAGCGCCTTTGGGGTGTTGGCTCCAAAGAAGCCTGGGGCCTCAGAGGAATTGCAGAGTGGAGCGTCTTCGCTGAGGTTGATGGAGAGAAGTGACAATCTAGTAGGAGAAGGAGGATGGCAAGAGGCTGCTGAGTTCTTTGTGATGCTAGAAGCTTTGGCCAGAGACAGCAGAAGGGGGAACAACTGTAGGACTGTGGTCCTTCTGCCCTCCCAGTTTCCCTCTCCATCCAAAGCAGATGAAGCAGCTCGAGAAAAAGTAGAGTGTAGGGGTGAGGGATGGTCACTTGTGTCCATCATTGTATTCTGGCATCCAACGTGGTACGGGGCACACAGAAGCTGGGCAAACATTTGTTGTAGGAATGAAGGGCCATGGTTGAGGGGAGGTTGAGGAAATGTTTTTTGAAATTCTTTTCCTCCAATAAGTCGGTCTAGGATGTTTTCCAGCAAGGTAGTGGGGCATACTCTGAGGGTCTCGGCTTAGCGAGAGTCACAGAGCCCTAGGCTGGCAGCCTAAGGGACCTCAGGGAGAACAGAGAAGAGGCTTAAAGCCCAGGCACAAAAGAAAACAGTGTGACCTGGGGAGGCAACTCCAGCCCCTTCCCCTCTGTCCCAGGCCTGTGTAGCTGAAGGAGTGGCAGATTAACCTGGAAGCTAAATTGAGGAGAGGGAGGAAGAACAGGAGGACGTGGGGGGCAAAGCCGGCAGGATCTAGCCTGGGTTGTGGGTCTCTGTTGAGGCTGGTGGGAGGCGAGTACCCAGAACCGCTCCGCTTCCCTCTGAGCGTCCTCTTGCCGGCCCTGAGCTCTGCTGTCTGCAGTAGGGCTGGGGAGGTGTGCTCAGTCTGGCCAGGTGGCCTCCCTTCTTCTTTGGGGGCACAGATGCTATAGCAGCTGAGTACTGGACCAGATGGTCCATTTGGAGCCGATCCCCTCCTCCCTCCCTGCTTCCCAATCTCCTGGCCCAGTTTGTTGTGCTCCGTGGTGGATCCTGTAATTTGTTTTCTGGCTGGCAAGGGAGGTGGGCTGGCCCCAGAGTGATGGAGGAAGAGTCTCCTGCATGTGAAGAGCATCAGAAAGCACCCCCTCCTCCATCCCGGCTTCCTTTCCTCCCCTAGCTGCTGGACTTGCAGCCAGGGCTGGTCGGTGGGATTCCTCTCCCTTACAAAACCACAGCAAACCCCTGGATTATTTAATATGCAGGAGTAGGAATTGACATTATCCTTAAGACAGGTTGTTTGCAACTTACTGGTGGAAGTCAAAATATTTCACCAAAGGTGTCATCAGAAACTACTATCCTATGCTAATTTTTGTGGGAACATGAAGACAGATGTTGAATAATTTGACAAGAGCAACATAGCTTACAGAATTATCACCAAGTCAGGTTTTTTCCCCCTCCTCTGAGGGGTGCAGAGAAGGAATTTCAGGAAATGTGTCTCCCAGTGCCATCTTCTGGGTGTTGATCTGGGGGTAGGTACTCTGGGGATTTTTCACTGGAGTTTCTACCACGTGCCTTGAGACTGTCCATATCTAACTCTCCCCCTGGAGAAGGCATGGCATCAGAAAATTCTGGTGCCCTAGGGCTAACAGAAGGCTTGGGGTTTTCTAAATGTCCTCAAGAAGGTTCAAACCTCTGTTCCTTCTTCCTTCCCAGTTACAGAAACAGCATGAGGGAGAGACGGGGCCTTGTTCCACCAAAGCTGGCTGGTTTGTTTGCCTTGCCAGCACTGTCTGTCTGCATCCCCCCCCCCATTTTCCCGCTGAAGTTGATGTTGGCTGCTGAGCCAGCCGAGGGCTCCCCAGGCCCAGCAGCAGGCTGGAGAGCCCCACTTTGGGTCAAGATCGGCATGATGTCCCATCCTACACTGCAGGCTGGGAATCTGTTTCCTGGCTGGGTGGGGGCCCTGGTGAGGGGGTGGTTAGAATGTTATTAGCCAGGAAAGCACCCTTGAGTGGGTGTGCTGGGGCCACGCCAAGGGCCCACTTGTAATTTGCCAGGCTTGGCTGTGAGTTGCCAGGGCCGGGTGGCAAAGCCTCATTTAAAGCCTGGTATTAGCTCTCTTTTGCTAGAACAGGGAAGAACAGGCGGGTGGGTGGGGGTGGGGGTTGCTCCGGAGGGAGAATGGAGGGAGCTAATCACCGCCACCAAGGCCCGGCAAATGAATGGTGCAGGAAATCAATATCTGGGGGCGGGAGTGGAAATCTGGGCAGTGGGAGCAGCCCCAGCTTCTCCAGCTGCCCAGGAGGCATGGGTGGACCTGGGAGGAGCGGGACAGGCCGAAGTATGGAGGACCCCTCTTGGCCACCTCCTCCTCCCCACCCCCCACAACTACTCTGCATCTCGCCCCCCACCCTCGCCTACCTGCCACCTGCCTTCCATCTCCATGTTGGGTTAGGAGATGCCCCTGCAACACAGCGGGACTGGGAGATGAGACCTTGGGCCTCTCGGTCCTGGCAGAGCTGTGCCCTGCCCCCTACCTGCCTCTGGACACCTGAGCCTGACTTGGCCCCAGGTGCAGGGAGTGTATGTGTAGCAGCCTGGGGACGCTGCCCCCTGCTGCTGGCACTGCCACTCCAGATGTGGCCAGCAGGGGGAGGGCTTGGCCACCACATTGTCTTTCCTGGGCGCCCTGGGCCTCAAGCCTCCTGGTGGGCTGAGAGTTAGTCTAATTCCTCAGCCTGGGGCCCATGGGGGCTCCCTAGGGCCGGCTGAAGCTCTGGGCCCCCTCCACCTCCCACGTACTCACCCCAGTGTCCACGGCACTTGCCTGTGGCCAAAGCCACGCTTCCTGCACCCAGTGCCGCAGGAGAGCTCTGTGGTGGGTCTCAGCTCTGTGGGATCCTGCCCAGGTGGGGCTGTGTGCAGAGCAGGGACTGTTGCCCTTGCAGAGCTGCCTCTTTGTG